CATTTTCCGCGCGAGCGTCGCTTTTTGCGGTTTCTCCTCCTCTTCCTCCTCCTCCCTGGTCAGGCTATCGCGCGCTGCCCTTTCAGACCCGTAATACGCGTGACGTGCTCCTGGCACGCGTCGAAACCTGCACTTAACGAACCACTTGTGCCCCTAATATTACGTGCCCGGGAAGCGGATATTTATCCCTGCGCCTAAGTATCATACTTATAGGGCGTAACGTGGCCTGGCTCGTGCCAAAATCGTGACAGTATTATTCAATGGGAGCACGGAGACCTGTGGAGGGGGACCATTCATGGCGAACGCACCTGTGTTGTGTCCCTTAATGGACGTTCAATACTATGACGTGTTGCACACACGTTCAACCGGAGAATACGTAGATTCGTCGAATTACGTGAAATCTCTCGTATGCCGATAGGTCTGATAAAGAAGAGAATGACGTAGCGGTGGTACAAGGCTAGACCCACCACTCCTAACCACGCTACGACAGAGATTTTACAGCGAGAACAATATTACATACATGCAAGAATGTTGCTCAGAAAATTAGAGTGTTTAACACTTTGACCGCCTTGTCAGCCATGTTTGGATGAGTATCCACGAAGACGTCATCTTTCACAGATGGACAACGCGATTCGTCAACTTTTCTCGGGGATCGTTCTATCGGTTACACCGTAGTAGGAATTAGACGCGAGGTTCTTCAGGCCACGCGCGTGTATACTTGGCGTATCGAAACGAGGTTAAGACCGAGTCGGACAAAGGAGATCCTTTTTCCAACAATTCATAAGAGAGGAGAGAAGAATCGAGCGTCCAGGAGGAGCGAAGCGGGGGCAGCGTGTTTACGGTAAAAGTCATCCAACCCAGGAGAGTATCGACCTCAACCTTCCGCGGTTCTCGGCCGAGGCCTGTTCTCCCTGGGCGCTCCAATTCCAAGGTCGCGACGCGTGCCGCTCCGGATGACAATTTCCCGGACTTCCGGACGTCGAAATCCAGCCACGTCCGTCGAACAAAAACCCGGTGTACGTACCCTCTCCGGCGGTACCTCGCGTATCCAGGCTAGCGAGCAAGCAGGAGAGGAGCAGATAAGTCTCGAAGCAGAGTTACCGGGACGAGCGTGAAGTCGGCGAGAAACGCGAAAAGGGAAGAAGACGAAGAAGAAGCCAGCGCTGTGAGTGGAGGAGGCAGGGACAGGAGAGGTAGGAGGAAGAGAAGAAGGAGGAGGAAGAAAGAAGGGAAGAAAGAACGAAAGAGAGACGCGCTCTCTTTGGCGTGGGGGTGCGCCCACGCCGGTGACGTCACCCGGCGAACGTTGGCAGTGTTACCGGCGATCAACGCGTTGGTGTTGAGGCCTCCTCGCGCGTGTACGAGCAAGAGGGAAGAGTAGAGCGTGGAAGAGGATAGGTTGTCCGAGCGCGCGCGTCGAGGAAGGGAACGATCGTGGAAGAGGAGTTACAAGTGGAAGGAAGAAAGAAGTACAAACTAAGCGTAAACGGAAGAGAGGGAAGAGCGAAGCACGCGAGGAGAAGAATGGTCGCGGTGAGACGAGGCGAGCGAGCGGCGCGGCGTGCTGTCGCAGTGAAGAGGGGCGGGAGTAAGAGGCGGGGGAAAGGAATGAATGGAAATCGCGGAGAGACACGCGGGAGAGACGGATGATTCCTAAGGAGAGGACGAGACGGAGAGTGTGTGTGCGTGGAGACTGTGTGAAAGAGAGGAAAGAAACGTCGTCGTCTCTGCAGAGAAGCGAGGTGAGGAGCGGAGTGCGCGGCTGGCCGAGGAGGAACATCTTAGGGCGTCTCGAGAGAAGCACAGCCGATGGGGAGGGGAGGCTGGCGTATAGGTGAGCAGCGTGAACAGTATCGGGAGTATGCACGGGGTGATGTCGACGACACGTGACGCCAGCGAATCTCGTCTCGCCGGTCGCGAGGAT